TTCCCTAGCAATTCCTTTGTAACAACTAGTAACTGCTTCCCTCTGACTTCTCTACAAATAGATATCTCTCTGCGACTCCGAGAAAAGAGATAGCACGGAGAGAAACTCATAGAATAGACAGAAAGTGTAAACGTGAGTGAGAAAAAAACTATGTTTTTTCCACTTTTCTTTGAGGCCTCCAAGATACAAGTTTGAAGACCCAAGACCCCTCTGCTCTCCCTAGTTTATAACATGTTAAATATCTGATATAAAGTTTGCCAACAAAATATTTGCATCTTCTGTTATGTGATTTTGATGTTTGCTCAATTCTTTGTTTTCCATTAGTCACGGGTTTCTTTTAAATAAAAGTAGTTAACAAGAAGAAATAAATTTCTGGGAGCATTAAGCATGCAACCCTCCCTCTTATATAATCGAAGTGACACTAGTATATGTCTAGGGGCAATTTTTAGAAATTGCCCTATTCTACTTAAGATTAGTGACACGACTTGGTCAAGGGGAAATTAGCCTACCCAAATATAAATTTTCATGTGCTAAATACTAGCATGTTTTTGATTTTTCTAATAATATTTTCTACAATTTATTAGTAGAAGCTCTAGCGATAGTCAACACACTTCTCACCCGCCCTCCTATTGGCCCGCATAGCTGTTGCTTTCTTGTGTGCTGGTTAGCGATTATTTAGATTTTTAAAATTGCTTCCAACCCTAGGAACCTTAAGAGCATTGCATTAAACCCCCTTGAACTATTTATATTCTACTAGATCCGGTTATCGCATATAACCCCCTAAATCTTTTATTCGACTAAACCGCACTGAAAAATTTCTCATTTAATCTCTAAACCAGCATCGTCAACTCTAACATATCATGTATCATGTATGATGTAACAAAAAAAGATGCAAATAACCCCTTAGTCGGGAAAAAAACACTCTTTTGTCTTTTTTGCTAAAAGAGTATTTTTTGGTGTTGAGAAGAAATTCACGTCTTTTTTATCATGTATTTATCACGACACATTAGAGTTGACGCTATAATTTGGGGTACTAATGAGAAATTTTCAGGTAAGATTTAGGGGGTTTCTACAATAATGCCTAAAGTTTAGAGGGTTCTAGTGAAATTAAATATTTGAGGGGTTAGCGCAATATGTCTAAAGTTCAGGGGGTCTAGCAGAATTAAAAAGCTAGGGGGGTTATGTGCAATAATGCCTAAAGTTCAAAAGGTTAGTGAAATTAAAAAGTTTAGGGGCCTATATGTAATAACGCCTAAAGTTTATGGGGTTTAGCAGAACTAAAAAAATTATAGGGCTATGTGAAATAATGCCTAAAGTTCAACGGGATCTTATGAAACCTTCAAATTTTGTAGTCTAAAACCATGTTATATAAGCATATATGCTAACATATCATGCATCTTAGCACTTATTGCAACATAATTTCCACTGAATTTTAAAAGAGGATGAAAATTATTACTCTGTTTACCTAACAAACCATCAAGGTTTATGCAGGTATCAATAGCTAAGATTGAGGACGATGATAGTTATAATTAAAATATATAGAACATTTGTTTTCTGCTTCAAATGCAAATGTAAATTCTTGTAGTAAAACATCATCTCATCTTAAAGTGGTTTGCCCCTATTTTGGGAGAATTGAAGGTTAGCTCTTCATCGGCATAAGCTTAGAAACCATGACAAAATTTCTTCTTGGAAAAAATAAAAATATGATGAGAGAATAACAAGCACAACAAGAAAGAGGGAAAAGAAGTTTTGTTTTCTATGTGTAGTTTTAGTGCATGTTAAGATGTCAATATGATATCTTATTTGGATATGTATTTTTGCTTTTTATGTTCTATATGCTACTAATGCTACTACTAGACATGGGGATGTAATATTTTAGGAGTATGTGCACGTTTTGCAGCTCCTTGCTAACAATGCAGTGATGCTATTGATGTTAAACTATAATGCTACTAGACAATATGGATGTAACTATTCTGGTTATGCTTGTTTTGGTACTCTCCTGTGATGATGCTAGTGGTGCTAATAATCTGTTTAATTTTTGTTGTTCATTTACCTATCAAAATTTTAAGTAACTAGTCATTGCAATTTGTGAGATATGTGGACAATACTTATAAGCTTGTTATGGTTTCATGGTTTGCAGGTTCAACTAAGGGGGCTATAGAGCCTATAGTAGGCTATAAGCCTATGACGGACTATTGGTATGAGTCTAAGCCTTTTGCAATCTTGATGATGCCCTAAAGGTTTTTATTGCTGAGTTCATGATTGCACATATTTGGTTGGTTATATGTTTCATTGTACTGTTTATCTATTCTTGATAAATCTTAGCTTTCAATGATATATTGATTTCAGCCTATATTTATATGTCATATTTTCACATAGAGAGATAGCAACCTAAGTGAAAATTTAATGCATTGGATGGTAATCTCTACATGCACTACAAATGGCTACAATGCATTATCTTTATCTAAAAAGGTAGCAACTTATAGTGGTTTTTGATGTTCTGGATGGCTACCATTGTTGATGAACTAGATAGTAGTCTGAGCCTATGCATCCAAATCTTATTATGGTCTCCATGTTTTTGAATGCTCATAATAAGTTTGTTTGTTTTAACTCATATATATTTCATATTCTTTAAGGATTTTCTCTTCACACATAAAATAAAATTGAGATTTTATGAATTCTTGGCTGCTCCTGAGTTCTATACCTTGTTTCCTCTTTGATGGTTTTCTCTTGGGCATGTTGATATTCTATTTATATTACAATGATGATAGTTAATAATACGACATAGTACCCTACATTGTCCTTTTCATGTATTGGCTAAGCTATCCTTGATGCATTAACACTAATCTGAGCCAAAGCACGTAAATGATGAAGAAGTCCCTTTGATTGTGTACATATGTAAGCAAAAACTTTGATTGAATACATGAAAATATTTTACCTGAATGAAGATACTATAATCATGATTACACGGAGAACCATACAAGGAATTAGACCAAAATTGCAAATTTCCATATTTGAAGTTTATGTTTAGTTGATTTCAATAATTTCTTCAACTATTTGATTTGCTTCACTTTTCTATTTCCTACAATATGATCACCATTATCAGTGTTGACCTTGTTGGGTACACCCTCTTCATTTGCCTAAGCAAAATATTTGCATTTTCTATTGTGATATTGTGCATACCCCCTTGTTCTTGTCATACTACCAGGTCATCAAAGGAGTTAAAATATTGCAATCACATTCAAACTTGTAAGCTTTCAAGAGTAAGCATTCTCTCTATAGGTTCCAAAAAAAGTGGAGGTTGAATTGAGTTTGTAAGTTCGGCTCCGGTTGATACATATTTATCACTTATGCATGAAATATGTATATTGCCCACTTTTTTTACCGTTGGGAGCTCACAATAATGCATAGCATTATTATGCGGTACTCTCACCAGTGGTTATATGATACTTTGTGTCTGACGATTTCTTTGAATCCAAACATGAAAAATCTAAGGAAACTCAATCATCAAATTTGGTTTCCTATACTTTTCTTACCAAACAAAGAGGGGAATAAATGCAAGCCATGTTTTGTAATACTTGGTGAAACAAATAGAAAATTCTACTTTCTAAGAAACATGAGGGAAAATATGGAATTGCAATTCTAGGCTTAGAACTGATTTCCAATTATTACAAGAAAATAGCCAAACATGCCCTAAAGGAAGTTAATTTGGGGCTATGATTCTAACAAATGACCTCACGTTGTTTTGTGGTAAAAAGGAAGGTATTAAACAAAGGTGATAATACACTGGGTAAATTTAAAAGAGGAAATGAACAGGTCTATTTTTGCAGAAAAAGTTAGGCAACATACAAGCTTTGCAAGAACATTATGAGGGTACACAAAATGACTGAGAAAGCATGTCTGATGCATTTGTGCAAGGATGTGTGCATGCATGCATGTGCGAGTGCATTACCCTAGGCCATTTAGTTTGAACTCTATATGTAAATATGCAAACAAGATAATAAATTCAATTGAAATTGTAGTCTTCAAATTTCAATGGCTAAAGTGCACTTAAATGCCCTGTTAGTTTCACCAAGCCTGCATCTAAGTGACCCCTATTTTAAAATCGAGCAAATAAATGCTTATAGCATCTAAATGTTGCGGATAAATACCCTAAAGTTTTAAAATATTGCACTTTGATGCCCTCTTATTTACTTAATGTTGCATGGTGGTGCCCTCTTGTTTACCAAATATTGCATACAAATGTTTTTAGTTTAAAGTTTCTAAAAGTTACACTTTTTAGTACCCTATATTATATGATATTCTTGATATACCGGCCAATATATCATTTTATATGGTTGGCTAAAAAATGATATGATCTCAATATCCATTATTTTGACAAATTCTAAACGATGCATCCTCAACATGGCTGATATATCAGCTGATGTGTTAGTCAATATGTCCTTTTATATAACTTGTCATAAAATAATATAGATGTTTTTAGTAAAAATTCCAGCATAAAGAAGTTTCTAGCAAATTCTAATAGGCTCTTTTCCCCAAGCAAGATTCCACAATTCATTAGTGATCCTAATTATATATTATTTATATTTATATGCCTACATTTCATCAAGTATGTTTAGGGGCTGTTTGTTTGCCTAAAAAAGGGGAAATCAAAGAAAAGAAAACCTATTTCTAAGAAAAATAGGTTTTGGGATTGTTTGGTTGGTTAAAAAAAGAAGGAAATCAAAGAAATGGAGATGAGATGAGATGAGTTGTCACCTTATTATAGGATGATGTGAGTGATTTTTTAAGAAAACTTGTTTTGATGTTGTTTGGTTGGCGGAAAAAAATAAGAAAATGAATTATAAGAAACCTATTTCTTGTATTAGGTTGTTTTCTTTTGTTTGGTTATTTCTTAAAAATAAGAAAATAGATGAGATGAGATGAGTTGTCATTATATTATTGGATGATGTGACCCACACTTAAGAAAATTGTTTTCCTAGCTTTTTGGGAGGAAAACAAAGAAATAAAATGTTAATGAGATGAGATGAGTTGTCACAATCTTATTGGATGATGTGAGTGATTTTTAAATATGATATGAGATGAGTTGAGTGATGTTGTGGATGAAAATAATATTTTATTAGATGTGGTGGATGTGATAGATGAGTTGTTGGATGAAAATAATATTTTATTAGATGTGGTGGATGAGTTGTTGGATAAAAATAATATTTTATTAGATATTGTGGGTGAGTTTTAGGGATGGAAATGTATGAAATTGTACTTTTTAAGATTTCTTGGTTTTCATTTCTATTTTTTGGTTTTTTAGGAAATAACCAAACAGGCCCTTAGAATACATTTTAGGTTATTATATTAAACATGCACATCATCTGATACATCACTCCAATTTTTACTACATATTTCCCTGATATCAGTAATTCGATATAGATTTTGGTCGTTCGATATTTCCTCGATATCTGATACTTAAAACTAACATCGTAAATAGCAATGCAATAGTGGTAGCGATCTACACCCACATCACTATGGGCAAAAGCGGTTATTTTTTACCGGCATCGGCAATATCAGCTCGAAATAGTGCCTAATAGCGCGTTAGAGCGGTGAAAAATGTTATATAATGCTTTCAAATACAAATTATTAGGCCCGTAGCCAACCTAAACCCAACCCAAATTCTTAAATACATGAGCTTTTTGTACCTGACTAGAGCCCAACCTGAACCTGACCATTTTTTTAACTTAAAACCTGTTTCTTTTCTCGATTCATCTCTCTCCGGTGTTCGATAACAAAAAAACTCTAACATAAATAGCTGCCACCATCCCTCGTCGTTGAAGACCATCGGAGCTTCACAAGCATCTCTTATTGTCGAAGCTCCACCGCCACTCGTTGTCGAAGCTCCACTACCTCTCTCCGTCACCAAAACTCTACTTTTCTCTATTCTTCATCAAAGCTTTTCGTCCTCCTCTTTGTTCCTCATAAAGCTCCTCAGCCTCCCGCAACTCCGCCTCCGCCTCCTCGTTTTGAAGCACAACCACCTCCTTCTTGAAGCTCCTCTGTCATATTCTGTATAGTACTTTGTTAATAGCAGGTGATTATACATATCTATTTCATGTTTAGGATCTCTATAAATCTTCAATATACATTTATAGAATTTTTAGATTTTTTTTGAACTTTTCTTATTTTATAAAAACTTATACATGTTTAAACTGGACCAGTTTTTGACTTTACGCTTTTTGTTGTTAAAGCCCCAAAGAGCCTTAGCGGTGCCTCGCCACTTTACTACGTTTTCCGCTTTCCAAAGCTTGCTAAAAACCTTGATAATAGGTTAAGATGGGAAGAACAAATTTAACGTATTAATGTTTCATTGACATCTCATTTCCATCAGCTTGACCATTTCATATTGATATTTGGTTGGTAGGTGATAGGAACCAAAGAGGTCACTATAACTCCAGAAAAATACCAAAACTTTACAAGCAACAAGTAATACAATGCCAACCCTCTATACGGGTGGCCAAGTTCCTTAAAAAGAAAACCATGAGGAAGTGAAAGTCCTTCTACAGAACAGTGGCATCCAATAAGCATGTAGATAGACCTTTTTGGTCATAACATTAGCTCATGCGATTAGTCCTCCAATTTCGCTAGATTGAGAAATAATATAAACTTATTAACACTTACATCAATGAATTGGACTTATATGTCAATAACTAATGTTTGGGATGTGATGTAATTTGAACCATTGAATCATTTCACACCTTGTAGATAGATATGATTGGTTAATGGCTAGCAACTCTAATAATTTTTGTTCGTTACTTAGTTAGACAAGCTTAAACTGAATGGCCAAATAAGATAGGTACTGCTACAAGCTAACTAAACATCAGAGTTTTATTGCATGCATGATCACCCATTTCTTATATTTGGCTTGGTCAGGTTTCGACACACTATTGACGACACCAGTTAAACTGTCAGACATAAGAAATTGGTCTTATTCTTCTTTTGAGCTTTCTCAACTTTGAGTGCCTCACAGGCAATCTCATTCCAATAGAAGGGATCTCAAATGTTGACAATAACACTACTTAATTTGAAGATATCACTCTAACCCCACCCCTAGTTATTTTAGTTTACCCACGTCTTTGTTGATCAATAAACTATATAGTAGGAAAGTTGAGTCAATTGAATGTTAAATCATTCAAACTTCACAAATTAAAAGAACAAAATGTAATGTATGATTTGATATAAGTCTCCAAAGTAAGAACTAAGTGAATGATTTGATATAAGTCTCCAAAGTAAGAACTAAGTGAGGAGGGAACGCATGGGTTGATATATGTGTGTGTGTGTGTGTGTGTGTGTGTGTGTATATATGTATGTATGTATGTATATGTGTATATATATATATATATATAGACACACACACCTCACTTTAGAATGATTAGATGAGAAGTGATCACCACCTACGAAGGATCAATTCCAATCACACACGAACACACATGCACATGCCAGCACACTCGCCCCCCCCACTACACCCCCCACCCGCCCACCCCCACACACACATATATATAATGTATAACATCTGTATATATATTATGTATAACATCTGTATGTGTAATGTGTGTCAATGTATGTATGTGTGTGTTGTATGTATGCATGATGGATGTGAGGTGGAAGCTCATTTTGTTAAATGGGATATGAAGAAATAAAGGATGGCTTAATCCACACATCCTATGTGATTAGTATGGTGGACCTTACCACATGTTTGCCTATTAGTAGCTCATTAGTAAAATAAGAAACCATCTCATACCCAATTTTTTTGTGTGGCTAACATGTAAAACATAGTTATCATATCTGAAAATATAAAAATACTTCAGACGTCTTAAATCCTTCCATATTGATTTCTTTATACTAAAAACACAACTTTGTTCGTTGAGAAAAATAATGTTCTAGACAGTGCGAACCTGAAAGGTACCTGGAAGAATGGAAATATGTGTATATAGCTGAACTAGAAAATAATGCTCGGCGTGTCATGAGATGAATGTCCTTCCACATCAATTCACCTAATTCTCCATTGATATTATTTGACCTATAAGATACATATGAAGCAAACAAATAATCTAAGAAGAATAAATAAATAGATCAAAATATTGTGTATTGATAACAGACATATTTGGGACAAAATATTGTGTATTGATAACCCCAAAGAAGAATCCATGACTGACAAATTATTGAGTTTAAATCAAATTTGAGTTCGACCAGTTGCCAATCATACTGATGGGCTATAGATTATTTTAGTTATTCCAAACAGATCATTTCAGTTATTTTCAACTAGTGAATTCAAGGATACTCTAATAAACTTAAGTTTTTACATGTTTGGACAATTTTGCAGTACACTTATAAGTTATAATGTTCTGACTTCCCACTTACTAAGAAACAATAGACCCATCATTTTTCTCTCTTTGGCTCTAATGGTGAAAATCATAATCATTTCTGTATGATCTCTCTACATAAAACCTTAAACCATCTTATTTCTCAATACTTTCTCAATTTCTCTATGTTTCAAGTCCCTTACCTCAGCTCCTCCTACTTTCCCTCCTATTTTCCTCTCAACCCTTCTTCTAATCCAAACCTATCTATTTATCCCAACGTTAAAGTAGGGTAAAAGTTCATGTGAAGGTGGCTGAGATTTTTATGAAGCTATCTTGTTGATTAGAATTTAAAACTCTATCGCTAAGCAATTTGACAGAAAGCCATAACATGTCTTTGATCAAACTTAAAAGGTTTACCAGACCTTTTGGTAGTTCTACAAGTTTTGAGCCACTATTATCAAATTGGATATTAAGGGGCTTTATACAAAGGCCTTAACTTAAATATGAAAACTTGAGGCCAAGAAGAAGTCTATCAAGAAAAAACATCATGGGGACCTACAAGACATCTCTTCCTTAACAAATTAAAAGGAGGTACAATTAAAACAGCTGAGCTTCCCCATCAAGCCCAGCACAACTTATGCCTAGCTATACTCACACACAAAGGAAACAAGAGAGGCTAACTGAAATCAACAAATCAACAAAGAACTCCAAATATGTAAGATACCTAGGAGAGTTCATGCCCAACAGCTAAATGTTAGCGGGAGAAAATCCAATCTCTTATAAACCCACAATCGACTCTCGTTTAGTCAATATGGGACTAAACGGGGCCTTAACCCATTACCGCACTTCAGCAATTCCGACCCTCGCACGAGCTGGCATTGCACTAGTCTAGTTCTATAAAACATTGCTCCTAGATCCCGTCTAGTAGAAGGTAAAGTTATATGGGTCATAAACAGGTCGATTCGAACTACTCGGTTATGAACCGGATTATTTCAACTTGAACCAAAGTGGCCCGTTTAACCCTTTGGCTTTAGACTAGATTATTCCCAAACGAACAATGCAATGCAATGTTGGTGTCACAAGCCGCACTGCTGGCTTGTAACTGCAAATACTGGTTTAGCTCTGACACCATCTGTAAGAGGCCTAGGAAAACTCACCCTAAAAGCTAGTTGTTAGAGGGAACCCAAATTTCTTAAACAGACCCTAACAAAGTATTTATAAAAAAAAAAAGCGAAGTCAGCATTTTTTTAAAATAAGCATTTCAAGAGATATATCACGAGATTGTCAAAAGGTCTCAACTTTAAGATGCTAGACAGTAAAGAGTTGTCAAGTAATTACCTAGAGACTGATTTAGAGACGTTTAAATCGTCATTAGAACAAGAACCAGATGCTGACAGCTTGTCTCGAGAGCAAAGTGAAGAAGCTCCATCGAAGAAGACCTCTCGCCGTCCAAAACGTCGAGGAATTTGGACATGGAGAGACGAAGCGCAAGCAAGCACGTGCATTTTACGCAGAGAATTTTGATGAAAAAAATTCGGGGATTTTTTTTTTTTTTTTGGGCTTTTTCAGAACTAGGGTTTATTGAGCAGATTTTGAGGGAGCAGGGAGGAATGGGTAAGCAGAACCAGTGGCTGGAAGATGGTTCTATCTTTGTTGTTCTTGGACGGAAATACCCCTCACATTTGCATTTGATTATAATCATCATAAGCCATAAATATCATAAATATAAGGGAAAATTGTGTCAAGCCCCCAATAACGGGAAGCGCATGTGACCTGACCCTATGTATTTTGAGTCTTGTATTTCAGCCTCAAATGAATATTGTATTTGTGTCAATGCCCCAAAATTTCTGTCATGTGAGCAGAGAGAGAAAAAGCCCACTTGAAAGTACAAACTCACCCTCTAAAGTGACCGGACTTGGTAATCACACCCTCTCTCCCCCTCTCTCTTTTACTGTTTAGGAACCACCGAAAATTCCCAAACTTTATTTCTCCCATCTTGAATTTCAACTTAGAGTTAGGGTTTTCGCCGTGAATATGTCGTCGAATGAAGCATCAGTTCACAATTTCAAAGTCGCTCATCGCAGTGGATGATACAAGCAAGTTGTCAGCGGCCGTGAAAGACGGTCAAAACAAAATAATGAAGCCAAATCATCTTTGTCAATCGCTCGACGTGAACAAAGTGGTGATCACACAGCTTCCTCAAGTGATGATGGTCATGCCTCTTCTAGCGACGCTGAATACGGTGAATCATCTAGGAATGAAAGCACGGAGAAGCGTTGAAGGCCCTTTTGGTCATGCAAAGGGGTGAAGTACGAGGTTGAGGTAATAAAAGAAGACCATGGGGATGATTCCAACACCAGAAAGAAGTAAGTGCTGGGTTTTTTTTAAATTAAAGAAGTTAACATGAGTTCTCTCAAATACATAATATGTTATTTAAACTGAGGTTCATGTTATCTAAACTGAGGTTCATGTTATCTAAACTGAGATTCATATTAATTCTAATGTTATACATAAGAATTAACCTAAGTTTTCATGTTATTAAAAATGAGTTTCATGATAACTGAATTGAGTTTCATGTTAATTCTAATCTTATACATGAGAATTAACTTGAGTTTAACAAAATACATGTTAACTAAACAAAATGTTATGTTAACTAAACTGTGTTTCAAGGGAAATCATCTGAATCTAATTTTAGTTCATGTTAAGTCTAATTTAATTCCTATAAGTCTAATTTAATTCCTATAAAGTCTAATTTAATTCCTATAAAGTCCAATTTAATTCCTATTAAGTCTAATTTAATTCCTGTTAAGTCTAATTTATTTCCTGTTAAGTCTAATTCAACTTATTTTAAGTCAAATTATATGTTAAGTCCAATTTGATTCATGTTAAATCCAATTTCAGTTCATGTTAAGTCTAATTTTAGTTCATGTTAAGTCTAAGTTATTTCCTGATAAGTCTATTTCAACATATTTTAAGTCTAATTTTATGTTAAGTCCAATTTGATTCATGTTAAGTCTAATTTTAATTTCTGTTAAGTTTAATATCAGTTCATGTTAAGTCTAATTCAACTTGTACATTTGAATTTATTTTCAAGAAAAAGGTTAGTGATCTTGCAGTTGGGGCATATTATGAATTTATGAAACGTCTTGCGCCAAAGATATGTCAATGGCACAGGGATACATATGTATGCATATTTAACAGGAAATGACTAACATTTAACATGATATGATATATAAGTAGCAGGAAATTACATAAAATTAGCAGAAATTTATGTAGACTTAACATGAAATGACTTAAGTCTATCATGAAATTAATATGAACTTAACATTGAACAAATATGAGCTAATAAACGAGACTTAACATTGACCGGACTAGACTTGACAGTCTTCCTATTAGACTTAATATTCCTCTAATTAGACTTAACATACAGTGCCTTAGACTTAACATTAACCTTACTAGAGTAGAAAGTCTTCCTATTAGACTTAACACTTAACTTTTTAGACTTAACACTCTACTTCTTGGGCTTAACATACAATGCCTTAGAATTAACATTGACCGGACTAGACTTGATAGTCTTCATATTATACTTAACACTTAACTTTTTTGACGACTTAACGCTCAACTTCTTAGGCTTAACATATAGCGTCTTAGACTTAAATTTAACTGTACTAGACTTGACGGTCTTCTTATTAAACTTAACATTCAACTTTTTCGGCTTGACACTGAACTTTTTAGACTTAATATACAGTGCCTTAGACTTAACATTGACCGGACTAAACTTGACAGCCTTGCTGATTAAGTGTCTTGTATGCTATTAAGTATTATGCTTGTATAGTTACAGACTATATTTTATATTGTGTTAACTTATAAGATTTTCATGTTAAATGAGATTTCTTTGCTATGTAAGAAGAACATTTCGTGTTAAATATAAGTCATTTCAAGTTAAGTTTGTGGTAAGTATATTTTAGGTGGAAGTCATAACATGTTTATTCTACAAAATTTCTTGCTAACTTTAAATAATTTGCTGCAAACTCTAAATCACAACATGTTAAGTCTAAAAATTTGAGTGTTTTAAGTCTATGTTAAGTCTATGTTAAGTCTAAGCCGCTTTATGTTAAGTCCAGGAAGTTAAGTGTTAAGTCTAAAAATTTGAGTGTTAAGTCTAATAGGAAGATAGTCAAATCTAGTCCGGTCGATGTTACGTCTAAAGCGTTGTATGTTAAGTCCAAGAAGTTGAATGTTAAGTCTAAAAAGTTGAGTGTTAAGTCTGATAGGTTCGTTGCATGTTTTACGGTTATGACCTTCCAATGGCATCGAGATCATTTAATTGACCATGTGTAAACAGTTCTGTTGTTGATCAGTCTAGTTTTATTTCTTCTTTTCCTTTTTATTGTTAGTAGTTATAAGATCTGGAACTTATCACGTGATATGTTACGCTTCTCATAATCCGGGATGGGGTAAAGGATTGGCTTGTAACTTTTTTTAAAAGCTTCAGCCATCATAAACCAATCACAGAATTGATAAACATCCCTTTTCAAAAACATAATGACTGTGCATGCATATTTACAAGGAATACAAGTTACATCCAGATCCAAATTTGAATGTTTACAAGGAATTTGCTGTGATTCATACATTCGAACGTTTACAAGGAATACGAGTCATATCCAGAAGATGAAAGTTATTTTATATAATGATTGCGCATGCATGTTTACAAGGAATACGAGATACCAATGGCTTGTTGACATGCCAACCCTGAGGTTGGGTCGCCCAAGACTTATTTAGACGTCTGGGTTTTTAGATAGCCATGATGGTCGAGTAGCATTGGAGGATTCAACCATATGTTGTGCCTTGTTTATCCTAAAGAGGTACCAAGGGCTTGTAATTCGACTGAGGAGTCAACCACCTAGAACTCTCGAGACTTGACTAGGTCTTCGGCAGTCTTGAGGCTGAATGATAACCCTAAGGTTGGGTGCCTAGGTCTTACGTTTGTGCCTAGGTATTCAGAATCTCCGTACGGTTGGCGATTGTGGGAGTCGACCATAGGGTTGTTGTTGGCCTTTTTGTTTTGATGATGTTTTAACAAACAATTTATAACTAATATTGTTTATCTAGTATTTGTGTTTTCGTATTTATTCTAGATAAACAATCAGTCGGAGGTTGGATGGAATTGAGCCTAAACGATCATATCAAATGGAGGTTGGCAGATATATTAGTATCAAGTCATTGCACATTCAAGTCATATACAAGATCAAGCTTCATCCGCAAAGTTTACCAAGAAGAGCTTATTGAAGACCAATTGCTTGGGTATAATTAGTTTAGATTTTATACTTGTGTGTAGATACTTTAAAGCTCAATATCATACACACACACATTTTATGAGTTTATCTGTTTTGGGTTTTATCCACAAACAATGTATTTACAAAAAAATAAATTTATGTTTATATACATGTATGTTTGTTTTCATGTGGATAAGTTATTTTAGTTTAGTTATATAAATATGAAACAAATATACATTCATATACATATTCATATGTTTCATATTCTATTGTATTTTAAAAAATATTATGTTTTTGGTTTATAGACTTAACAACTATAGTTTATATCTTTTATCAAGTCTATAGAATCACTTTACAAAGTTTCAAAAGTATGTTTAAAATATTTTGTCAAAAACATGTCTTGTTTAGTTTTCATGTTTTGGACATTTTTACAAAATGAAAAGATTTCTCATTTAGGAGGTGCAATTCTAAAAATACTTTTTGTAACATGTTTATTATCATATTTACAATCATTTTTCAAAGTTTTATATTTTTTGGAATTTATTTGCTATTTTTTAAAGAGGTTTAAAAATCAATTTTACTATTCATTTCAGGCTGATAAACTGTTATCAGTCGACTGATGGATTTTATCAGTAGACTGATGAACTAGCCTATAATTATCAAAAGTTTCTATTTTTACGACTGATGAACTATCAGTCGACTGATGAGTTTATCAGTCGACTTATAAGGTCTTCAGTTGACTGATGTGCTGTGTGCTGCCTGTAACTGCCAGCTCATCAGTCGACTGATGCAAACTGTCAGTCGACTGATGGCCTGTAACGGCTATATTTTCCACCTTTGTACTGTTTTGGTTTTTTAGTCTTTGTGCTGTTTTTTCTTGATCTTTGGGGTTCCCTATATATACCACCTCATACCCAGCTCTGTTTTTCAACCAAGAAAGGTTTTAAACAAGTGTAAAAGAGTGTTTAAGTTTGTTTTAGTTTGTTTACAAGTTTGGTTTGTGAAGAAATTTTCACAAGAGGAAGAGGAGATTATCCATTCTTGTTGGGTTTCAATCTACATCCCTCCACTCTTGTTTTCATTGGAGAAGTTTTCTAAACTCAATCTCTAGCTACTTATATGTTTTATTATAATTTCCTTATGCTAGATTTCAATTGAGTTTATATTATTTGTTATCTTTCACACACAACTAATTGAGCTTAAGTATTTTCATACATTATGTAATTTGGGTTGGTGGTGTGATTGAGTGAGCTACATTAAGTTCTCATCTATTATAGAGAACAAATTATTTGTATTTGAGCCTTATTGTGAGAATCACTTTGTATTACACAAGTACACCAAGAGGAGTGTAGAGGTGAGAGACGTGATCGGTTCCA